CGTTTTTACAAAAAAATGAAATTTAATTTAAGTTTAATCAACTCAATTTGCAAATACTCTAACATAATTATACATCTTGAAATCATCGTTTTTTTCCTTTGACGTTATTTTTCTATCACGTGTCCATCATTAAAATAAATATTCATTTTCGATATTTTTGAAAAATATAAGATTTTTAATGAATTTAACTATGAATGTTTGTCTTTCTCGTTTCACGTGTGTGCTACGGCGCATATCAATCTTCGTAATAAACACGTGTAAACGACCCACGTGTCACGAACCCGCACCAATCGCTCGTATTTACTCATGTGCGCTTAAATCAACATAAAATCGCGAATTATAATTTACTACTGAATGCATGCACGTGCCATGATATTACGTAAATTTCATGTCAATATATAACGATTCGTAATATAAACTCTGCATGTGTGAAAATATTTCAAAAACGATAATTCTTTCGATTATAGCATCTCCCTTAACATGTTATATTATCTTTTTTTTTATCTGCAGTGAGGAATTCGCGTTAACGAATTTTAGCACGTAGTGATTATCTCTAACATGGACCACTATATCTGATGACCGCTTATTTTAATCACGTCAACCGTTCTCTCGACAATCGAGAACAAGTGGCTTGCTATCGCATGCATCGCTCATCATACATCATTGATTATAAATATATACGTTGGATGAAATTTTGAAATTATTACGCGTATTTACGTCATTTTTTTAAGACAAATTTCTTGGAAAATCATTTCTAATTTTTTTTTACCATTTTTAAGTTAAATTTTGCTTAATAGATCGGTGTTTATAATTGCACGTTATATAAATTTATATAGAAATTAAGGACTCTTTAGATACCATCTTGTTTTCCTAAAAGAACAAAGGTTAAAAAACCTTTTCCTTTTTTTCGCGGAGAATGGCCATTAGAAGCTAATACCATCGCAAGTAGCAGATAGCAGGTGCAGGATCGTAATGCATAAGTGGGTGGCGATGGGAGAGAGGAGTTCCTTCGCCTCGTGACATCCTTTGTATTTGTGACGGGACTCAATAGGGTATCGATTACACTCTCGAGGCGAGGTCAAAGCTGGCGCAATAAACCCCAAGCGAAATTTGTATTGAGTATTGTGCCGTCGCCCAAAGCGTCTACAAAGTGTCGGAACGGTGTTGACTAATATATAGACACAATGCTATTAACTGTGATAATATTAGTACGATATGTTTACTTTTAGTAGAATTTTTTTTATGCTCATCGTGTTAGTCCTTAAAATATCTGCAGAATTGAGAAACATGAAGCGGTGAAAAAGTAACGTTTAATCAAATTTTTGTCGAAAGCAAAGATCATATCGAAACTTTTCAGATATCTAAAAGTAAAATGCCGAGTGTCTCGCAAACATCCTGTATTGCTGAAATTTCCATGTCGCTTGCCTGGGATGTTTAATTACATATGCGTACGATAGCACTAGTAATTTCCTGTGTTTCTTCTATTAATGCATAAACATATCTACTTTCGGACAAAGTCATTCATGATTTAACCTCGCGAAAGACAAACCTATTGAAATGACATCGCGAAAATTAGAATGAAGCATATAAAAAAAAGTGCGTGCATCTGCGCGTAACAATTTAAAATGCATGCAGTAAATGAACGATGGAACGTATTCTCTCTCTCTCTCTCTCTCTCTCTCTCTCTCTCTCTCCCCCCTCTCTGTCTCTTGATCCCGTGAAACTTGCAGAAATCATTTCTTCGCTGCGGCTCACTGCGAAGTCGAAATCAGACACAACGTAGACACTTGCTGCCGGCGGCAGATTTAAGAGTAAAAGTAATCGACCGAGAGAGGAGACGAGATATGTAAATGAGCGCGAGTAGAACTTAAGTAGCAACAGGCGATAGGTACTATCTCGATTATAGTTATCGCGGGAAAGGTGGACACGATCTAATTAAAACGCTCATTTTCTGCACGCTTTCGTGTCGACCGATTATGATAGCGAAATGATAGCGAAGCTGTGATACTTCTCGGTGATAAGATTGATGATTATTCGGAGATCAATAAATATGATATTTATGGAGCTGCTCTCTGTAATAAACGTTGGTTGTAAATGATCAGTAATATTTCATCAATCAATATAAACCACTACTATATAATAGATTTTGATAATTATTATTAAAGTATCAGAAATGAGAGATTAATATAAAATAATATGAATTAACGAGACAGAAGCTCTAACTAAATGAAACCCAAATAAACAAAATATAAATAAATTAAACGGAATAATAAAATATCCTCCGGAGTGTTTAACTAGATGTATTTATTCCGCAAATGTCTCGGCATATATCTATCATTTCTATACCGATCACTTATTAATTATTGTATTAATCATTCAGGTGTACATTGAAATCATTGGAAAATGTTGACTACTGATTTTATCATTGAATATATTGCGTATTATTTAACGATTCTTCGCATATTATTCAACGAAGATTATTATGCTAACTTCAATTATTTCAATTAACTTTACATCTCGTTGATGATGCCGACAAGGATACAGAGATTTGCGCGAGAAAAATATTGAATGGCACGCGTGCATTGTGTAGTCTTTCATTTATATTTTTTTACGACTCACATAACTGTCCACGGAACACAAGCGTGACATTATCGATATGTATTTAACATTGCTGATGAATATTGAATATTCGAGTGCATCACAATTAAGCGACGAGCATTAACATATATGCGATTAATTGCATTGATCAATAATATAACAGTTTATTGGCACGATTTTTTGATATATTTTTTCGATCTCAGGAAAGTGGAAAGTAGGACATGGTCGAACATTCTTTCTTCTATCGGAAATCCGTCCAATGAATAACAAAACAAGAAATACACGAAACAATACTAATTCTTTACCGTGCTTTTAATCTCCTACTAAAAAATTCAAATAATATTGTTAGTAATTTGTATATAATATTTTTATATATTATATTGCAGGAATAATATATATAATAATATATATATAATATATGTAATTTTTTATCATAAAGTAACATAAATTCGATATAATAATGCAATGCGACAATATCAATAAATTAAAAAAATTAGACAATGAAATTTTACGAATCAAATATACATATAAACTATTACACGAATTATCGTATTCTAGTATTCAATTAAAGAGATACATTTTTCATGATTAGAAAGGATTTTATTTTTACTTTCAACTGTTATCACCCGAAGGTTTGATATTTCACTGACTTCATACTTCTTATCGTTTTCTGAGATACTATATAATGACATTTGATATCAAAATAGACATAAATAGACATTTTATTCATATATGCTAGATTTTAATTATATATGCATTTTAATTATATATGCTATCAAAACTTGATAGCATATATAATTATTTCTGACTGTTTTATTAATAAACTTCTGAATTTCGCTTTTATATGACATTTTATGTCGTTTTGTCAAATCATCAGGTATTGGTCTTCCGCCGGAGTTAAGTTAAATCAGTACATCGCGCTGATTTCGCTGCTCCGAGGATCGTTGTTTACGCGTAGATGCTCAGCACCGATTTCAAGCTCGGTCAAAGGGGGTCGTCTGTTACCCGGGACCGTATCTCTGTGGTAGTGCGTATATGTGGCGACCCACGCTGGCGCCGTCGCAGCCACAGTCGCCGTCGCCGTCGCCGCCGCAGCCTTCTGCCTCGCACTCTCGCGTTTCTATTCTCTCTCTCAATCGAGATCTCATTATACCTTCGGCTATGTAGCCTAGTAAAAATGTCCAGACTATCATTCGGCATCTGATATCACATTCATACGTAAATAGTCTAGTTCTAGTTGTAAGTCCACACTTCAGTGAACTTCAAGTCGACACTTTTGATAATAAAAAGTGAACACTTATCATTATCGTAAATTTAATTGTCTGATTAAATTATTTAACAATCATACCAAACTTGTACTGTATGTGACTTCAATCAATTTACGTTTTTTATTAGAATCGTTATTGAACTATATTAGATCTGTTTTAATCCAAGTTGAGTCAGAACGTTGAAGATGTCTCTAATGAATGAATATCAAAGATATTTAGTATTCAAGTGTCGTATTTGTTCTGCCTCGCTTCTAGAGAAATAGGATGTAAACGTGAGAGTGCAACGAGCGTAGCTAATAAGAGCAATTTTCCCGTTTGTGTACTTCCATTCCATTCTGTATATTCATTTACAAGCGAATATCTAATCTTTATACCGGTATAAAAGTCCATTCGGATCATCGCCTGTAGAGCAATTCTCTTTTCGTTTCCCGTCCTGATTTACCAATCACGATCTCTCTATTGCGCGTTGTTCATAACGATAATTGTCGATCCTCATCAAGGGGAATATATCGATCGGCCCGCATTTTTTGGACAATTGACATGGTAATGTATGTTTGGTTTTCTTTGATATTATTTTCGGCAGAATACTGCTTTAGCAGATTTTACCGCGTATTGAGATGGCAAATCGGCATGTTTCGATTTAAAGCTGATCGACGAAACTAATCTGGAGTATGCTGGTTAGAAATGTAAATTGACTTAAATTGTATGATGTTCAAATTCGAAGCCTTATTTTTTAATTGAAAGCGCTTAAAATATTTTGAGCGATGACACGAGAATATAAAAGCGAAGGCTTTTAAGGCATGAAATCTAGAACAACTAAATGAAAAAAATTAGAATTGTTTCAGACTGAAGTAGGTTAATGTACTTTCAATGTAGAATAATGCTTTGTTTTAAAACTTACTACGCATAGATAAATAATTATTTATTTAAATTTTCAAATTTTCCCACTCTTTATGGCTTAGTTACATCAACTACGTCTATATTAACTTCAGCATGTTAAAAGATGTGGGAGAATTTAGATTAAACTAAAGTTGAAATACTCAGCAATCTAAAGTGATCACATTCGCTTCAGTCATCCCTTTCGTGTCATCCCTCAATTTAAGTCTGCGAACACGCGCTACGAACTAAATTCACCTTTCATGAAAGCTGAAAGCTCGAACGTACTTTCCACCACGTGATCGGTCATTTTCTTCTTATAGACCACCGGCACTTCACCGGTTCCTTCCTCGATTCACGCACCCTCACGCACAAAATACACTTTTTCCTTTTCTCTCGTAGTACAGATCCACAAAGCTCGACACGTATAATAAACAAAACTGATTGGATCCTGGTAATCCCAAAATTTCGTTTGAACGAATGCGATGTTTAAAGAAGTTTTCGCGAGTCTATGTTTGAGCAACAAACTCAATGTGAGTCGACACAGGTCCTGTTCCGAACGCAGTCGACAGTGAACTGGTTCGCCTCGTGTACTCTCGACTCCGTTTCATGCTCTTACGTGTGCGAGGGAGGCTCGACTGGTTCGTGCTCCATTCCACCACCACTACCACCGCCGCCACTAGTAACGTCGTCGCGCTACCACCACCACTCCGGCAAATTACCACCACCACTACACAATCGCTATCAGCACCAGCAATACTAGTAGTACTACTGAACTACTACCGCCTGTATTACCACCACTATCAGCAACGACTGACGTCGCCGCGAATACAGTCTCCCTCTCACCCGTAAGCTTTGTCGACTTGAAACGTGGCATACGAGAATATTGTGATGGGTGGGAGATCATGCCGGAAAAGATCCCGTGACAGAGAACGGCACGGCGTTGGCGTTTGGCGTTGGCGTCAGTGATAGTAGTAGTATGTGTTACTCCACTTTGATGCTAGGCGCGGTTTATGACAATAACAGTAAGAGTATTGGTCTGCCTACTAGTTTATTTGATGGGTTGTGAATGGCTGATAGTACGATGTCTATTATATTTGATTCCTAACGATGTTAAGACATAATGATTTTAACAATTCTAAATGACTCCTATTGATTCTTGATCACTCAATGATTCTCAATGCGACGTTGGCATCTAATATTGGCGCCGTTGATCATGGTAATGTCGCTGTCCACTAGTATTAGTAACCACCGAGATATTAGACGACACAGCGCGTTGGCGTCGGTGGTGGCGATGGCTACGGGGCAGAGGAAGAAAAGGAAGAGGAGGAGAAGTGCACGCATTGTTGGCGGCGGGAATCAGCGGGGGCCGACAGAGCGGCGCCAGCAGGCTGAGAGTTTAGCTCACAGTTTCTCTGTACCACTAGCTTGTTCTTTCTCTTTCTCCTTGCGCCCTGTCCCCTCGCTCGGCTTTTCCGTCTCCGTTGAACTCTACGGTTCTCTCCTCTCTACATTCGTCTCTCTTTCGTCATGCCTTATAGCCGCTCTGCCCACCCACCAGTGGTAGCACTCTCCAATGTGCGAGTGTGCGTTTGCATGTCTGCGTGCGGAGATGCCGCGGGCGGCCAAGAATCGCGAGTTTATGGGACTCACTGACCACCGCAGGAGTCTTTCTCCAGGTTTTGAGGCGGAGGCCGTTTACCAGCGCTGATCTCCGGGAGATTCGACCTCCGAATTTTTTTGTTTTTTTTTTTTTTTGTTTCTTTTACCGCCCTCTCGCTTTTAACCATCTTCGCCCTTTGCGCTTCCTTTCGTTGTGTCCTCCGCTAATCATGGTGACTCTCCCGTTTGCCGGACACAAGCAGACCCGGTGCAACTTCTGTCCTCTTGAAAGAATGCTTTCACTATGCCAAAATCATGGGAAACACCCGCGGGCGTATTGCGCATAGGCGGATATTAGGGGCACTTTTCCTCGGGGGCGGTGGCGAAGCAACCATGCTCGCTATAATATTCACCGAGCACGTCACCGTTCCGCCGAATTGTAAACACTTATGAATTCCGTGCGAATGGTAATTTTTATTTCCATGACGAAATAATTACAGTAAAATCGATATTTATTGTAAAAATAGACTATGCATACTAATAAATTAATAATATCGATGAATGATCATCGAATTTATTTATTTAGATAATGTAATTAGCGAATGTTTGCAATTTATTAAGAACTTAATATTTTACAATATGTAAAACTTATCGATATAATAAGTGGCAAAGACTACAACAAGAAGTAAGAAAAAAACACAATAAAAAGGCATGATACGAAAAATTTTTATTGTATCTTTGGATATATTTTTCTTATCAAAAGAATACGAACAATTAATATACATATATTATATTTTTTAATATCTTTTAAATTGTTTTTTAATTGTTAAATGTTTACAAATTAAAATAATTGTTGTATATCATCCATGTGAGCGTCATGACATTCTTTTCACATTCAATTGAATTGCATATTGTCAACATATGTACACATCTTTCTTCCATCTTTTTGAAATATGGAACCTTATTACACAATACATGCAATTAATATATCCATGCCCATTCAGGATTCTACGAGTTAAGCAACGATCTGAAACAAGTCAGTCTTTCCATTATTTCGCCGATTTTACGAGTTTGCGAAAATATTTTGGTACACATCTATTTGATACGTCACCACGTGGTCGTTTGCAGACACCATTTGCAGACACAGATGTATGTTCTCCATTCGAGACTCCACAAATCCATATGGCCAATCCACTAGGATTAGTGCGTTTTGTGTTGTAAAGAACGGAATTACTGTCTACTCTGCTTTATTTAATTTGTGCATGAAACAAAATTATTAAGCTTTCATTTTTCTTTAGCCCATTTAAATTGCAATTTATAATTTTTATCGACGAAGTCGACGAAGAAAAAAAAGAAATCGTGATTTCTTAATTTCATTCTTTTAACAATTCTGTCACAAAAATTTACATTTTGCAGGCTGCACTTTCGTGATGCAATGTATTTCGTTTCGACAGTAGTCAAACTTGTCAAACCAGAAATTAGCCGTATTAATAAACGTAACCGATCAAGACCATTCGAGACTTTTATTTAATCGCGTGATTATTTTCTTACAGCGCTTGTAATTGATTTTTTTTGTTCGATTACCTATATTACGCTTAATTGACAGCTGCGAGTTCTTCTCTGACTAAATGTACAATTAACGAAGTGAACAAATCGTTCTTTTGTTATTTTTCTCTTATTAATTAAATTTAATTACTCAATAATACATTTGTATATGAGGTTTGGTAGGGAAATATTACGTGACACAATTTTTTAGCGAACATAAAGCGAATATAAAATATAAGTATGAATGCATTATACTTGTGATTTATATATATCAATCATATAATTTATTAAAAAATAAGGGTTTTGAAGATTTTATAAAATGTCAGCATTTTAATTATTTTTAGTATCACTTATCGGTGATCTTCATAATCTTATTTCAATACATATTTCAATATATTCTTGACTTCTTGCTTTCTCTTGATAGAACACGGCTACTTTTTTAATTAAATTCATGTTTGTATTCAGAAATTGTTTAGGAGAAACACACTGTCATCTTATCTGTTTATATTTCTTCATTATCCTAACTATAGCAATACTCAAAATTTGTGGAAAATCTGAAAGAATTAACATAGTTATAACTTAAAAGAATCTGACAGATGAAAAAATATAATTATATCTTTAATTTAGAATTTATAGATAATCACTGATAAACATTCTTTCTCAAGTGTGTTGTTTTAATCTCTTGTTCTACGAACTGCTCGGCATTATGACATTGTTTCTGCATTATATTGATTTTTTCTTGGCATTTTGAAGTTTCTAGTAGTTAAATTACGCACTTTCGATTTCCGTAATCTACCGATCGAAAAGATTTCTGTCTCCTTCTGAGTAACACACTGATGACGATTTTTCAGTATAGAAATCAAGGAATAAAAAAGAATGCACCTGTACTCTTGAAACGATACATGTGTGTGGCTTCTGGTAATAAGCTTAAGTATGATTCATCACATTCCTTTTTTTACTCCGCCTTGGAATTGGTCGGAAGTATTAAGTTACGCGGATACTTAAAAACACGAATTTTAAAATACGTGTAGGAAATTTTTGTATAATCTTAATTATGTATTCCAAATTTTGTAAACAATAATATTTTGCGAGAAAAAATAAATCCAATAAAAATCAATAAACAGAAAAAAATGAGTCATATTTATCAAATTTTTCAGTATTAAAAAAATTGTTTCACTTTAGTTCTAGTGAAAAAACTCACAAAATTATTTTTTTTAAGAATTTAAATATGATATTCAATAATATTTTTGAAACATTCCTGATTCCTCAAATGTCACTTGTCTATTAAATGAAAAATTTACAATATATATTTCAAATTTACATTCATACTCTTTCTACATTCAAAAATATAAAAAATTTTATAATACATTATTACAGATATTTTATTTATCTTAAATTGTGTTAAATAATGGATAATTTATACCAAACAATTTCAAGATCGCTGTTGTTAAAATACTTACTATTAAAATATTTCTTTTAGTTATTCTTTAGTTCAATTATTGGCCATTCAAAAATCTCATTAAAAAAGTTTCTATTTTACAAGATGCATGGTATTTCATTTTTTAAAATTTTATGAACATTAAAGCCTGAACATGAAAATTATTATAATTATTTCCGATAGAGTTATAAATTTAACGTAGCCATTCAATTACTTTAATATATTTCAAATCAATCAATTGAATGCAGAAAAGGGAACGCAATTAAATTTTCTCTTGAGAAATTTAAAAACAACTGTTTTTGAGCTTCTATATATAAGAAGTGTAATCTAGTAAGCGATATTCTCGGGATTTGAGTATTTCAATGAAGATTTTTTTTCGATAAAGTATGTTAATCGAGATAAAATTCTTGGTGTCACCTATTGGTTAAAGTGATTATCAGGGATTCATCGTTATTGATTTACTTTTGAGTTACTTATCAGTGATTAAAGTGTATATCTTAAAGTA